ATGTAATGCTACATTTCTCCAAATTTGTTCCCATGAAGAAACAAATTCACCTATATTTTAGATGGTGTGAGAGTAAGTTATCTTTTTTGGGCGAACTATTCCTTCGAAGTAAATTTAGGTTGGAGTTACCTGTCCTTGGAGCTGAACCTCTTGTCGGTGGTCAGTAGATCATGCAGCTGTTGAATATGAGCCAGGCCTGGGAGGAAGATCAGAACTGCACCATCCACATCACGAAACTGAGGTGATTTATCTGAGGAAAAGAACCAGAGATTCTTCATTTACTCATTAAAACCATTAACAAGTAGATTTCTTTGAGGAAAGACACTGCTAATAATACAGTATTGATCCTAATGAGGTACATATAATTGCTGACTCTGTGCTTACAGTACAGTATGTGTGTTATATTACCCAGGTATTCCAGTAGGTCTAATATCAGATCCATATTTATCTTATTGGGGTTCATATACTGCAGGACGTGTCGCGTCCGGCTGCTGAAGTGATCCAGCTCAGGGCTCAGATCCCAGCCTGGGCCAGAGTCCCTCACGATCGGCTCCTGAACACAAAACAACACAAACATTTGTGATAAAACGCCAAAGAATAACCTTACGCATGCTAAACAGATAAGGTATAGATAGACAGATTCTTCTGGATTTCTGTTCCAACCTGGTGCTGAAGAGTCTTTCCTCCTTTCTGTGTGATGTTGATGCTGACTTCCTCTTCCTCCTCCACAAACCTCTGAGTGTACTCTGAGTCCTGCTCCAGAACATAACCCGTCTCCTCCACGATATCCTCCAGGTGAAACACCTGCCACCACAGTTTCTCATTACTTTTGCTTATTTAACAATTTATAAAATATATGACTCGTATATGAAAAATTCATCAAAATACTAATGTTACAGTATGTAAGCATATATTTAGATATAATCTTGCCTCCACAGGGAAAGTTCTGCCAGGTATGGTGACCACAGGACAGCGGTTGAAGTAGTTGGCAAACTTTTGACAGTCGACTGTAGCGCTCATCAAGATCAAACGCAGATCCGAGCGCTTATGGACCACTTCTTTTAGTACGGTGAGGAGGAAATCTGACTGGACGCTCCGCTCATGAACCTACAATATTGAGACACGATTTTGGGGTTAAACGGTGCAGCATTAAGTGCACACAGTAGGTATATTGACAGATTTATGTGAGCTTCACCTCATCCACGATGATGTGTGTGAGGGAGCTGAGGAGTCGGTCCTGCTGTAGTTTGCGCAGCAGAACTCCAGTGGTGCAGTAC